GTTAGTTGGTTATGTATTTTTTAAATAAAAAAAAAATTTTGAATTTACTTACTTGTAGCCAGAGTTAGAGGCGGTCGAATACTTATGACCGCTACTGTAAGACAAGGTACTACTGATTTTTATAAAGATAATAATGATTGTAAATAAGCATTTTATGTAACAATTATTTTGGGAATTTTAGAGCTTTTAAGTAAAATAAATATTATAGTAATAGTTAAATATAGTTATATTATTTTATTAAAATCTATTTTTTTAGAATATTTTAATTTAAATGTTCTAAAAAATAGATTTTTGATAATTTGTTATTTAAAAATTATTTATAACGAAATTTAAAATTAATAATTTAAATTAATAAAATAAATTTGAAATTTTAACTATTATAAAGTATTTTAATTATTATAATATATAATTTTTATAGTTTAAAATATTAATTTATTAATATATTATTTTAAGTAAACTTGAGTCAAGTTGAATTTAAGTTAAGTTTAAATCAAATTGAGTTAAATATTTAACTTAACTTAAATTTAATTTGACTTGCAAATCATTGAGTTAAAAAAATATAAATTCAACTTGATTTAAACTTGACTCACTCGTAAGTTAACTTGACTTATCTAAAATTCTATTAGGTATTAATAAATTTATAACTTAAGATATATATAAAAATATTTTGAATAGATATCTAAATAATATTAATATAAACAAGCTAAAAAAAATATTATATAATAAATCAGTTTATAATATTAAAGAAGGTATTTAAAATTTATTATAATAATTATAATATAAAATTATTAAGTAATATATAACTATGTTATAATAGACTATAAAATTTTGAATAAATCTAATAAGAATATAGTCTTAAAATTTATATTAAAATATAATATAAAATATAATAATAATAATAATAAGCATCATATTTTAAAATAATATTAAATAATTTTTATTAGCATATTAATTTATTTTATTTTAAAGTTAAAAAATATGATTTTATATTGATTTTAAAAGTTGATTTTACTATAAAATATAAAGATTAAGATAAAAGTCTTATTATAAAAGTTATTAAAAAGATATATCAGAAATAATTATTAAATAATTAAAAAATATTAATTATTTTTTGAATTTATTTTTTGAATAATTCAAAAAAAAAAATAAAAGTTTACAAGTTAAAGAGAATAATTAATTAATAAAAAAATAAATTAAAAAGAATTTGTAATATAAATATAATTAAATATTCATAATTTTAAATAACTTTAAAAATAAGTAAATAAAATATTAGGTATTAAATACTTTATTTAATATTCTTATATAAAAATCTGAATCTAAATTTTTTTATTATTATTACTATTAAAAGAAAAAGAAAATGCTACTACTAATTCTATTACTAATATCATTAACTTTATTATTATTAATACTATTAATATTAAGCTACTATTACTATCAATGCTGTTAATATTATTGCTAATGTTACTGCTATTATTAATATTACTATCACTAATATAGGGATGATAATTTTTTGCATTTCACAGATTTCTGCAGAACTCAAGGAATAGATCTTTAATTGTAAAAATGGTATAAAAGGAGTTTAATAAGTGTAACATAATAATTGATCTTTTTTCTCCCTTTTTTTAAACGTTTATTTTTGTAATAAAGAGAAAAAGAGGTCTAAAAGCAAAAGTTATTGTTAATACTAGAATAGAGAAATATTCAGGTAAATACTGAGTTAACAATGAAATTTTATTTTGTAACATTTGTGATCATTCTATTGATTAGGTATGAAAATTAATGATCAATGATTATCTTAATAGTATCTCACATAAAAATAAAAAAAATTTATATAAAAACAAACAACGTTAGCATCAATAAAATACTTGCTACATCTTTTTCTTCCTCCAAATCCAAAAAAATTATAATTCATAATTTAATTGAAGCTTTTATTGTAGTAGTTAGCAGATATCCCTTTAGAAAAAATAAATTTCTTACTTAATTTTTTTAAAAATACTGTAAAGAAGGTGGTACTATTCCGCAGACAGTAACTTTATATTAATTATATGTATCTCAAACTTTTTCTTTACATTTATAAAATCTTAAAAATCTTTTTTATCAAAAACCTGTTACTATTATCATGGATAAAACAACTGATGCTTGTCAAAGAAGTATAGTTAATTCCCTTTTTGCATATTGTAAAGATATGAAATTAGTTTCTGTAGATTTTCTTATACGCATAAATAATGTAACTATAGGTTAAACCCTTATTAATATTCTTTCAAAATATAATATCTCAGTTACTTTTTCTCAACTTTTTCTTATTATCGTGAAGTTTTGCATTCTTTAATACCACAATTAATTCACATTCCTTGCTGTGCATATATTTTAAATTTAATTAGATAAGTTTTAATTTAATTATATATTTTATTGTAAAATTAAATAAGTTTAATAAATCTAATAAACAATTTTTTTTAGTGATACTTAGTGTATATTTAAAGGTTTTCAATAGTTAGAGTATTATTAGAAAAGGTTAAAGAAATATTTATTAGAAGTCTGGTACATCGTTGTCAATATATAGATCACTTAAAATTTCATGGAATTAATAAACCACGAAAAATTCCTCTCCCTTGTAAAACACGGTAGAATTCTTAGTTTAAAATAGTTAAATATACAAAAGATCATCTTATATATTGGCATAGATTTTTTTAAGATAAATTTAAATTTGATAAAATAGAAGCCAGAATAGAAGCATTAAAAACTATTACATCTTTTCTTTCTGATACATAAAAATTTGAACTTATTAGAATTTTTGTTAACTTTATTTCTATTTTTTCTCAACAATTTATTCAAACATTAGATTTTTTTTAATAAGAAAAACCAATATTTTCTTTTGTTGAAAATCAATTATAAAATCTTATAGCATATATAGAAAGTAACATAGTTGTAACAAGTTTGGATATAGTTTGGAATTAATAATTAATAAAAATTATATTTAACCAGAACATTGTTATAAGATTTTTCGAGAAGCATTTAAAGTAGCATATAAAAATTTATAACACATATTCCTTCTTATTCTAGACGTCCTCTTTTTTATGCATATCAAGTTTTTAATCCAAAATTTATTCATTTTAGTAATATAATAAGAAAAGTATATGTCAATATAGGATTATTACAGAATTAGATAATCTATCTAACGATTTATTACACGAATGAGCAATTTATTGTTGGTCTATAATAAATATAGATATTACATTAGATAAATATTGGTTAAATGCGACTGAATATTTACCTCTTTTATTTTAAATAGCATTAGATTATATATGATTACCAGTTTCTTCCTGTAGTGTAAAGTGAAGTTTTTCTAAATACAATTCAATTTTAGATAATAATCAGCAAAATTTATCTGAAGAATCTTTATGCAGTTTAAATATGCTTTATTTTAATAATAGTTAATTTTATTATATATAATAAAAATTATAATAAATTTTGCAGAATTATATAAAATCTATAAAAATTTTAAAAAAATGTTGTAGAATATGAATAAATGTTAATGCATAGCAGTTTGCAAAATTTATTTTTAGCATGAACGAAATCAGCATTTTATCACTGTAGAAAATCATCATCCCTGAGTTGCAACTTAATTTTTATTAATATTGCAATTAGTTGCAACCCTGTGATGCTTATTTGTCACTAGTTGCAATCAGTTGTAGCGTCATCTTTAACTGATAGTTATATAAAAAGTTATCTTCTATAAAAAATAGTATAATATTACTTTCTGACTTTATATATCTTTTGTATTTATTTCTTTCTTATATTTCTTATTTTTTTATTATATCTTAATTTATTCTTATTTTCTTTTTATTTCAATAAAGTATTTCTTATTATTTTTATCATTAAACTTTTTGTAATTACTATAAAAAATCTTACTCTGTAATTAAAACTATTTGCATTTTAGTAAACTATGATAAATTTAATAAAACTATTAGTAAAACTATTGAGAATAATAATAAACTAACTGAAAATTATATATAAACTTTAAAAGAGTTAATCCTTTGATATCAAATTTAATAGTCACAATCTAAAAGATTATATATTAATAATATTAATATTAATAAATTTATTTTAATTTTATCTTTTAATATAATTATTATTTTTTATAAATTTATTTTTATTTTTATTTTTATTTTTTTTAATAAATAATAATATATATAAAAAGATTTCTAAAAAAATCAGATTCTGAGAAAATTTTTAATTAAAATTAAGAGTTTAATACAGTCGCCACTAGTTATAACGAACCTGTTTATACCAAAAACTGGTTATATCGAACTATATGACACAGAACTAATTTTTTATAATTAATTACACTGGATATACCAAAATTACATAGTAAAATTCTATATATCGCATCTGAACTATGTTGGCTAAACCAAATATATTAGCTATATATTTGATATACTGAACTGATCACGTGACTTAAAGTTATTTATAAGATTATCATAATATGAATAATTTTTTTTTAATCAGAACACAGAAAATTTTTGTTTAAAGATTTCTGATATTATATCAAGAAAAAGGGTTATTCTTTTGCTGCACAAAAACATAAAATATGTGAAACTAAAGAAAAAAATCCAAGTCTTCCTAATATTGAACTTGCACAACAATTTTGTATTAGAAAGTTAATAGTTACTGATATTTTGAACGAAAAAGAGCGTTGGCTTACAATTTTAGAAGGGCAAGGAAATGTTAAAAAATTTTGTGATCCAAAGTGGCCTCAACTTGAGGAAGTACTTAGTATTTGAGTTAATAATGCATTTAATACAAAATAAGACATTGATGGTAATATTTTAAAAACTAAAGCAAATTATTTTGCTAGACAGTTTTCTATAGAAGATTTTAATAATTCAGAAGGGTGATTATGTGATTTTAAAAAATGTCATGGTTTGCGTCAGTTTAAGAAGCAAGGTGAAACTGCAAGTACACCTTCTACTGAGTCAATAGCAAATAATCATATTGCTTTACAACAACTTCTTGCGTCTTATAATTCTGAAAATATTTGGAATAGTGATGAAACTAGCCTTTTCTGAAAAATGAAACCTTCTAAAGTTTTAGCACGAACTCCTATATCAGGTCATAAAAAAAAAATTGTGTATTACAATATTTTGCTGTGTAAATTCAGCTGGCACTAAAAAAATGAATCTCATATTTATTCATAAATACAAAACTCCTCATATTATGAGAAATATTAACTACAAAAATCTTCCTGTTTATTATTTTTGGAATAAGAAAGTATAGATGCAAGTCAGTATTTTCAATGAAGTTCTTAAATTTAATGAAATAATGAAACAAAAAAAATGAAAAATTATCCTTTTAATTGATAATGCACTAGTACATCTTATTTTGAATTAAATTCAAGAAAATTAGATAGTGTAAAAATGCACTTTTTTCTACTAAATACTACTACAGAACTTCAACCATATGATGCAGGAATTATTTATTCTTTCAAGTGTTATTACAAGTGTCTTTTTATTCAGAATCGAATTAATGCATATGATAATGTACAGGATGGTATTATAGAAAAGCTTGATGATTATACTATCTACGATGCTCTACAAAATGCAGCTGAAGCATAGTCAATGGTATCATTACAAACAATTTTGAACTGCTGGAAAAAAACAGATATTTTTCCATTAAATAACGAAATTAATGAATTTGAAGACCATGATACAGTAGTTTCTGATAGGTATAATTTAATTAATATTATAAATATAATATTATATATGATAGTTTACTAATACATACTTATTTTTTTTAGTTTTATTATAGAAATTAATGAGCTTGATATGTTACTTCTTCAATTTCCAAAAAAAGATCTTAACATGTATGAATATATACATATTGAGAATGAAATGCCAAAGGGTGGACTTATTGATGATAAAATTGTTGATACAGTTTTAAATACAAATAAAGAAGGGGAAAATATGAACGAAATTGAATTTATACCTATATTGGAAAAAGTTAGTCTAACAGAAGCTGAAAATTTATAAGTGAAATTATGAGATTTTTATATGAACAAGAATGCAAATTTGATAAAGTTAGCAAAGAATTAAAGGTTTTAAGAAAATTACATAAATGAGTTAAGTTACTAATTGTATAAAATTTAAAGCAAGTTGATCTTTATTACTTTAATATTAATGATACAATTGAATAGTATAGCATTATCACACAAATTTTAAATAATATAATATCACGCAATTTATAAATATAATAATA